TGTTAACTCGTAATCTTTTACGACATGCTAATTAGGAGAAAAAAAATTAAGCGGGAGAGAAAAGAGGGGGAGGGAGGGGGGCAGTGGGTTATTCTTTTCTCCCCCAAAATTAGTGGCTCTGAAAAGTGGGTCTTAATCCTTTCGGGAGATGAACCCTTATACTTACAAAGCATCTTCATACCGCTTGCTAGGTATATGAATGTCAGTATTTCTTGTCTTCTTTGTCCATGGTATTATAAAAATTTTTCTATAGCACTTCAGCTCAAAAACCCCATATATATATATATATATAAACACATAATATGGGTGCTCTTGCCTTATGCCCGATGCGTGTAAAAGGTTCTTTTGACTACTATACATGTATATATATATATGTAAACACAATTTGTCAGCCCCCCCCCCCCAACCCCATATTTTGTTCTTCATCAGTGACATCGAAGCGGCTTGAACTTCCTTTCTAGGCAACTCATTATATCTCCCATTTGCACCCAATAAAGATGTTCTTGTTCTCATTCCCAAGCTTATTTAATTTCCTTGAGGCTACCCATAAATTTCCCTGGAAATAAATTTGTAAATCGAAAAAAAAAAAAAAAAAATTTAACAAAACCATCCATTTATTTTTATAATCCTGCCTGACACAGGCGGCGCCACTGGGCGTGTCGTTCCCTGTAGAAATAGATTAAACAGAGACATTGTTCGCTTGTTTCTTGTAAACAGTTAAAATTCTGGTTTTATTAGCATAATGGTATTATAAATGTAGATCTTTAAATTTACACAGCGTCCAGGCTGACCTAGCCTTAATTGGTTTCCAGGTTTGGATCACGTTAATCTCCCCAAATAGAGCAGGTCACTTTTCATTCACAGGTTTGTTAGGCTGGTCAACTTTTAGGAAGGTTACGTGTGTGTTCCACTCTGTTTTTTGCTTTCTGTGATGTCTTGCAATTACTTTTTCATTCCGAGAAAGAGAATGCCTGTGACAAATGTTTCAGAAGTCTCTAGGGAAGTTGTGTTAGAACCAGTTTCAAAATGTTTTTGGAGTTTTCATAGGGTTGGTGTCCTAAAATATACAACACGCTATTAAAAAAAAAAAAAAAACCGCAGTGTTATCTGATGGCGCTCTATTGTACAAAGAAAACAAACCGCATAGTTAACTGACATGAAAACACGCACGTCTAAAACATATCAAGTCAGAAGCGCGGTCAAATGATTTCTTAACCCCGAATTTATTCGCGTGCGCCATGTAAACAATATCACGCGTCAAACTGCGAAGATTTTGAATGTCAAAATTATAACACAATTAAGTTCCTTTCATTAGCTATGCGTTTCGTCCATTCATTCTTTTTTTTTTTTTTTTTCAACTTCTCAATCTCTGTCAGATAACTGCACTTTTAAATTTTGAACATAATATGAAACTGAAACAATGTTATATTCACCTAAAAAAAGCAGTCACCAACCCCTACCTCCCCCCCCCCCCACCCCGCCCGCGTGTTACCGGGGCTCTCACGGGAAGGAAACAATAGTAACACAGCTCCCTACCAGGCCTGTCGTAAGAAGCGACTAAGGATAGGGTTGGGCTTGGGGTTGGCTTCCTCCTGTAAAAGCAGTATATATAATTAACATAGACAATGTATTGGTAAGCACTCATAGAGAGAAGTAGAAAGGTAGAAAGACACACTAGATAACATAAAAATTGAAAGCTATAGTTACCATGCCGGGAATCGAACCTGTCACTTCCAGACAGCGTGTGCGCCTTGCTATGGAAACAAGCATACTAAGAAGACAACCAACTGGGCACCCCCCAAAAAAGGTGTCTTCGTTGGCATGTCTATCGTACCGGTTGAAATCCACAACTATGAAATAACACAAAATTATTCTCAAACCATTTAAATGACAACATAGGTTACAGAAGTTTATATTAGCGAAGCATGGGTCGAATAACAAACATAGCAACAATTTACAAGCACAGAAATGCTTTGTCTAGAATACACGAACATTAAGGACAGATTTTCAGTTGGTAGGTTCCTGTAAAAACATAGCATGGTGTCACATACCGCTCGTGTCGCGTGCCTGATTTAAGGATTTCTTCTTAAGAACCAACAGCACTCTGAAATAGAATAATGTTGAGGTGTCGGCTCGTATTGGTCTAAAGGGTACCCCGTGGCCAATATACACCCAACCTATTTCAGGAGTAGGGCAACTCATGTTATGGCACTACAGAATATATAATAATCCTAGCCGCAACTTGGCTGGACGCCCCCACTACTATAAAAAGATAGCCCCCAGGCTATGCTATTATAATACCACAGCCATGTTAACACAGATTAAGATTAACGATCACACATACATAAAAGCTAGACAGTTTTAACAGTGAAACAGGGACACCCAAGTCAGTAAGGAAAACTTCCAGAGGCATGTAATAAATGCAACATATATATATATATATATATATATATATATATATATATATATATATATATATATATATATATATATATATATATATCATCAAGACAATCTAAGATTTTCACAGGCAATTAAAGTCTAAAAAAAGTACTGCTGAATCAGCCAGAGACAGTTCTTGAGAGTATCGGTGATCATCATCATGGCTCCAGGTGGACCTGTAAAAAGAGCATGAGGTATATGATCACTGAGGTACTTATCAAGTTTGGTGAATGTCACTGCTCTCCTCAGTCCATGGTGATCTGAACGTGCTGATTCTGATAGACTGCTTCTTTTCCTGGTTACCCTGGCAAACACAAGCTCCTGCCATATTGAAGTTGTGCTGGTATTAGGCACTATTAGTGAATGGTGGTTGGTTGGACTGTTGATCGTCTGCCTGAATTCCAGGGAGGTATCATCCTATGTCAGGAAGGAACTTAGAATTAGTATTCATATCAGGAGTCACATACCAAGCATAATTTATTTACCTCCACCCTTCTCAGTCACTCAAAGGATAGCTCTCAGGATAATGAGACAATTAGATCTTCATTTATCTCTGTCTGTCAGTCAGTACAAGAGATAGGAGACAAGTTCCATAGTGGAGATAGATAGACACTAGTAAACATAGGGCATCTTCTCTCCGCATTCCCATCTGCACTTGCAGACACACATTCCATCCCTTTCTTACATATATATTATACCTCCACAATCTGACTGTAGCTGACACTGTGTTGTTGTGTGTCTGCTAAAAATAACATCTGACGTCACAGCGTCTCATTCGCTGTAGTTTGACCTAGTTAAATCTGCCGGCTATATCGACCTGAATCTCTGCCAGTTAGTTAGAGAATAATTAGCCTGCTATAAAAGAAATATCTACAATAATATTGGGTCAGGTAGGACACAAACTATCAGCTTGTAAAGAGAAAGATTTTGTTTAAGTGGCTGTGAGTACATTGACACCAAGAACGGTCTTGTTCTGCGCTGTCTCATTGCTGAATCTTTCCTCTCTGCAGCAGCGATTAACTTCATAGAGGCATATATCATGGTACGTAAACTATAATTAGCTTTCCCAAGCTTTATGAAATGTCCTAGATACAAAAGGCCGCCTCCTCAAAGCAGAGATACTCGAGGCACATTTAGGAACATCAATTCTTCTTGGCAGTCAGACAGAAAATGACGCTGTACGCTGGCGTCCTTTCAAAGAAAGTAGTCCGGGAGATTAATGCGCCGAGGTGTAAAAAGGTTTCTCGGAATTCTGAAAAATAATCCAGAAAATATCTATCCCACAATTGTAAGTTTGAAAATATAGACTTCTAAAGACAACTAGAGTGTATAGAAATACCTATTACGCCAGATAAAGGTATAAATAAATATGAGGGACTATATACCCACCAGATGGGTCTATATTTAAAATGTGACCTGCCCACTATTATCGCCAACGCTACGAATAGTCGAATATGCAGGGGTGAGTTGGATCACTTCACGACACATGGAACAGTCAAAAAGAGAAACAAAAAACCCAGCCATGCTGAGAACAATATTAGAAGAATGTTTTAACAAAGGTACATGAAAATAAAGGCAGCCCAAAAACTCACGGAGAAGGAAGTTAAAGAGTAAAGTTAAAAAGAATGGGAGGACATGGGTAGAGCTGCATGCGATAGCGAAGGATAGAACGACTTGGCGTGAATTAGTTGAGAACCTATGCCTCTTTGGGGGATAGAAGGCAGAAGAATAAGACGCAGTCACGCATAAAGTAATAGTATCAGATTCTATAATCATGCTTCAGACAATCGCAACAATTATTCTACGCTTTGGGTGTGTAGAAAGTATTCGTAGAAAAGGAAGAAACATTCGTAGAAAAAAGAATAATCATTGGTAGAGAAAGAAGAATCATTCGTGGAAAAAAAAAAAAAAAGAATCATTCCGCCTGTTTACTGCCAGTGAACACCAGGGAGAAGAAGCAGAGCCAAACTGACATACATAGTTAAAAACATATTATTAGTCGCCCATACTGTGCTATCTTATCCTCTTTTTTGAATTATCTCTTTATAAATCCCTCTTTACCCTCATTTTCCACCTTTATCTTTCACCCTCAACAGTCAATCTATTTATATTGAACTATATATGTTCTTAAAACAGTTAACCCTTCTCGTTTTGCATCCTTCTTCCCTCTTCTCCCCCAACTTCTTGATAAATTCGAAAAAAAACTCAACTTTATTTTGTTTTCTTAAAATTACAAAGGATATTTATTACTCTATGTTTTTCTTTGTCTTATTTTCGCTTAGTTTCTTTGTAAAACCATCTTCTCTTTTGTTCCACTTGCAACGTTTCTAAATATATATTGTTGGCTTTGTCTTAAACCATTATTTTCGTTTTTCTTAAGCCGAAATTCTGCCCCCTTCCCCCTTTTCCCTTGTTTTTTTTTTATAATTTTTTTTTTTTTTTTTTTTTTTTTTTTTTTTTTGTAATTTTAAAACTTTAAATATTTCTTAATATATATTGTCTTTAATCTCTATAGTATTATTCTGGTGTTTCTGAAACGTTTTCGTTCTTTTCCTCAGCTCCCGAATTCATTCAGAGGCTCAACGGTGAGGAGACGGTGATGGAGGGACAGTCCTTGTGTATAGAGTGCAAAATTCGTGGATTTCCTGTACCAACTCTTCGCTGGTTTAAGGTAAGTACATGTTTTAACGATGTAACCTTGGATCTACGTGTGGCGTTCGTTTTAGTACTGCTCTGAATAGTAGTGTGGTTGGAAACCTAATGCTGGCCTGAAACTTGGATTTGTATCTGAAAATGACTTCTAGTGGCTGCTAAGTTGTCTGCTCTTTATCATCATCATCATCAGTTCTCGTTATGCCTAGTGGCACTTGAGGCTTCAGAAAGGACTTTCCATGCTTTCCTGTCCTGTGCAATCTTCAGTGCAGATTTCCATGTCAAAGATGCCGCACTCAGGTCACTTTCCATCGTTTGTCTCCATGTTGTTTTTGAGCGCCACTGTTTTCTCTTTCCCTCTGGTGTCCATGTGAGATCTGTTTTGGCAAGTATCAGGAGTCATTCTCATAACGCTGCCAAGCCATTTCCATCTTCTCTTGGTTATCATATACTGTCTAAAGTTTCTTGGTTTGTGACTTGAAGTTGTTCATTGTTTGAGATTGTATCTGGCTTTGATTTCCCTTAACTCTTTGAGTCCCAAAGAACGCATCATACGTTCATAGATTACTATCTAGAGGCCCGATTAGCGCAAGATGCGCCGATTTTACGTCTTTCTTGACTACCCCTTTGGCCTATGATGCTAAACCCCCTGGGATTCAAAGAGTTAAAGATGCGGTGGCCTAGTATCCATTGGAGCATAGTCTGCTTTGTTATCTGCCCCATTATATTAGGGGTAGATCTAACCTTCTTGAAAAGTTATTTGTCATACACACACATGCCGTGATTGTGACTGACTCATAGAGCATGCTTCGTGCAGAGTGGTAAGAATCACTGCAGAGGTCCGGGGTATTTAGCATCCGTTGGGTATTTTCTACAGGGAATGTCGGTGTGTTGGGAAATGAGCAGGCAAATAGACTGGCTGGTTCTGCACCACCTGGTGGTGAATTGGTGTATGCCAAATAAATGTTGTAAGTACCCTTTGAAGGGTGTGTGAACAGTGCAGAGACACAGATTGACCATTAGGGTCTAAGAAGAATGACGCTGCGGGGGATTTACCAGGGGATCTGGCCGATGCTCCAAACTCAAGGGAAAGGCGAGACAGATATACAGACAGTTACTGGTGCCATAGGAATTGAAAAACCTCTATTGCTGCTGAAGATGCGGACGGAGTGCTTATGGGAGTGTCCCGAGTGCTATGATGTCGATTCTTAATTCTTAAAAAAAAAAAAAAAAACTCAGAGCAAGGCAGCCATTAGAGCCAGTTGCAACATTTCCCAACCAGGTCAAAATCATGAACACCTCATCAAACTCCTTACGCGAAGGAAACAGACCATTATATTTAAACTGCCCACTGGCCACAACAGACTCTGCAGCCATATGTACAAGAAATGCAAGACTGGAGATTTAGAACTGTGTCCGTGTGGACGGGCCACAAAATACTGAACATCAGCTATAGATATGCTCTACATGCAGTAGAGAGATCCCAGGTGTTTGGCACGTTGGTGTCCAAATAAAAACCATGATGTATAGAACAATAGAAGACATCCGTCACGCCACAGACTTCATAGAGGACCATGGCCATCTTATCTGACATCCACTGGCGAAAAGAAGAAAGAAGAAGATATGCAAACGGAAGATTAAAAAAAATTGAACTAGGACTCTATCTAGAAGTTGTTACCAGGTAATATGTTGGTAAGTAAAGGTGGCCGGCCAGTTGATGACAACATCAACCATGGACTGCCAAATGATCTACAAAATATGGCTCTAAACGAGGCTTTTTTTGTGTGTGTTTTTTTTTTTTTTTTTTTTGTTTAAAAAAAAGTGCCGGTACTAACTACAGAGTGTCTAAAATATATGCAAGTACTTACCAAAAGTCTATTGCAGTCTTCTTCTTAAAGTCTATACTGTGTGGCGTTGGTAGTCATGTCTATCCACAACCTTCTGTCTCGTGTACTTTCTACCAGCTCTGACACAAATGATCTTCCATAGTCCATGCCGTATGGCGTTGGTAGTCATGTCTATCCACAACCTTCTGTCTCGTGTACTTTCTACCAGCTCTGACACAGATGATCTTCCATAGTCCATGCCGTGTGGCGTTGGTAGTCATGTCTATCCACAACCTTCTGTCTCGTGTACTTTCTACCAGCTCTGACACAGATGATCTTCCATAGTCCATGCCGTGTGGCGTTGGTAGTCATGTCTATCCACAACCTTCTGTCTCGTGTACTTTCTACCAGCTCTGACACAGATAATCTCCCATAGTCCATTCCGTGTGGCGTCTGTAGTCATGTCTATCCACAACCTTCTGTCTCGTGTACTTTCTACCAGCTCTGACACAGATGATCTTCCATAGTCCATGCCGTGTGGCGTTGGTAGTCATGTCTATCCACAACCTTCTGTCTCGTGTACTTTCTACCAGCTCTGACACAGATGATCTTCCATAGTCCATGCCGTGTGGCGTTGGTAGTCATGTCTATCCACAACCTTCTGTCTCGTGTACTTTCTACCAGCTCTGACACAGATAATCTTCCATAGTCCATGCCGTGTGGCGTCTGTAGTCATGTCTATCCACAACCTTCTGTCTCGTGTACTTTCTACCAGCTCTGACACAGATGATCTTCCATAGTCCATGCCGTGTTGCGTCTGTAGTCATGTCTATCCTCAACCTTCTGTCTCGTGTACTTTCCACCAGCTCTGACACAGATGATCTTCCATAGTCCATGCCGTGTGGCGTCTGTAGTCATGTCTATCCACAACCTTCTGTCTCGTGTACTTTCCACCAGCTCTGACACAGATGATCTTCCATAGTCCATGCCGTGTGGCGTCTGTAGTCATGTCTATCCACAACCTTCTGTCTCGTGTACTTTCCACCAGCTCTGACACAGATGATCTTCCATAGTCCATGCCGTGTGGCGTTGGTAGTCATGTCTATCCACAACCTTCTGTCTCGTGTACTTTCTACCAACTCTGACACAGATGATCTTCCATGCCTTGCTGGCAAACTGTCCAGCTTTTTTCTTTTGGTCTCTCTCTGCCTCTCCTCCCCTCCAACTTTCCAACTGTCACGATGTAATCCAGTTTTCTCCTTCCCCTCACGTGATAGGTAGATTGTCCCTTTCTGATGTGGGCAATCAGTTCTCTTCTTGAGTCAGTTTCTTTCAAGGCGTCTTCATTATTCTTTTTTAACTGTTACAGTAGTGCTTAAAAATGTATGCCGTAAAAAAAAATTCAAGTACGGTGTACCGGCAGAAAAAAAAAAAAAAGCCAAGATGTCGGACACATCTATCCGATGCTCCAAGTGGACAAGAGTTCATAAGAAAATGCCATTCTGGCGGGTTACATACAGAAGTATGAGAGTCGCACCCAGTAAGAGATATGATCCCTAATCATCATCATGCAGCTGGTGTTCTGCAGAACGTCGCCCTCATAACAGTCTGTCTAAATCTCTCTCCGGGCTCATGTACTTTCATACCCCAGGTGTCACGTATATTCGGTGAACATCTTTATGCTGGTCGACCCCTGCCCCCCCCCCCCTTTTTCCTGCAGCAGCAGAAACAGTAGTAGTAGTTGCAGCAGTAGCCACAAAAGTAGTAGACATAGTAACAACGGTAGTACTGCTGCTGCTACTGCTACCACTGTTACTATTACTACTATTACTACTACAGCTGCTGTTGCTACTATAACAACTACTACCACTACTACTGCTGCTATAACTGCTACTACTTATGCTGCTGCAACTGTTATATTACTATTACTACTGCTGCTACTATTACTAGTTCTTCTACTACTACTCTGCAACTCTACTACTACTACTACTACTACTACTACTACTACTACTACTACTACTACTACTACTACTACTACTACTACTACTACTACTACTACTACTACTACTACTACTACTACTACTACTACTACTATTGCTACTACTACTACTGATGCTACTACTACAATTGTTGCTGTTGCTACTACTACAACTAATACTACTGTCTCTGTCCCTCTTACGCCGTCTCCTCCTCCTCTTTCTACTACTACTCCCACCACTACCACTAGTCCTGATCCTGCGGCTCGCACAACTACTGCCCCTACCACTACTACATGTACCTATGTAAGTTCTGAACATGTTTCAGGATGACGAACAAATAATAGATCATCCGAGAATCCACGTGGAGAGCAACGGTAAGGGCGGATACTCTCTCATCATCGACAACGTCCACAAGGGAGACGAGGCGGCCTATAGATGCCGGGCAGAGAATCTAGAAGGGGCCTGCTCGTCATTCTTCTTTCTGTCAGTGAAATGTAAGTGCACAAAGTATAGACTACTAAATCTTCCTTGGACAGATTTCAGATCCAATAGACCAATAAGGCAACAGTTCAAGCAAGACACTGTATAAAAGGTAAAAGGTAAAGTCGGGAGATGTGAACCAGCGTTATTGCACACAGTTATAAACCATAAGTGCTCTGCCACAAGTACGGACAGCTGATAACAAACTGTGATGACACGTATTTATACAATAATTTTCTGTAACCCAAGGTGCCACTTCAATGATCTGAGACGAATTCTGTCACTAATCCATATTTGTAGATTTTTCTCTATACGATCATCATCATCATCAGGTGCCTTGCCGATTGGCCTGAGCGATCATACCTCTCCACAATCTGCGATTTCCTGCAGCATGTACCAGTTCGTGTGCTGACACACCTCCATGCCATGCAACAAGATTGTCAAGAATCTTCTCTTGTTGTCTTCCTCTATCCCTCCTTTCACATGTCTTTCCAGTGGTCACAACATGTTTCATTTTCCCTCTTCTTATATGGCCGAAAAAATGATGACTGTCTCCTTCTTATGTCTGAGATATGTTGTCTTCGGGCTACCGCCTCTTTCAAATCCTCTTGGTCGCTCTTTTCGGCTGTCGAAGGTATTTTAATCCTTTTTCTATAAAACCACATCTCTGAGGCCACATAACATTGTTTGGCCTGCCATTTTTTAAAGTGACCTATGCCCAAATTGCTACCTGCCTAAAGTGGGTTCAGGTAATGTTAGTTACTTAGTCGCTCCTCTTCTACCTTGGGGTTCAGAGGTTTGCCAGTGAGATCGCCAGACTTCTCTATCAGCAGTTTTTCTTTCTGGCTTTGCTCCATTCCAGTCGTCTGTCAGTCAGGGACTGATGGATGTTGTCTTCCCAGGAAATCCTAGGTCGTTCTGGAAGTCTGGATTCCTGGTTTTTGCCCTCACATGTCTGCGGTTGTGGCTGATGCTCTTCCATACATGTCCAAACCACCGTAACTGCATTTGATCCAGTCGAGTTAGTAAGACCTGTGTTTTAAGGTCGTGGCCTATTGTTTTTATTTCGAGCTTTGTCCCTTCTGGCGTCCGTGACTTAGGCATTGCGAGTAATTCCAACGCACCACGGTCGAAACCCATTGCTGGCTGCGTGGATTTGTATCATGGTATGGGGTGTCGCCGGTCGACCCAGTCTAAAAATGGGTACCAGGATGTATGTCCTGGGGAAGTAAAGACCACATTACCTACCTAGTGCCGATTGGTCTGTACAAATATGGGTGCTCTTTCCATATGCCTAATACGCCTAAAGGCGTGAAAAGGATCTTTGTCCCCTCTGGTAACTTTGACCATATTGCCAGTAATATCCTGGGAAGTAAAGGCAATCGGCCTGCTGCTTACCACAATACTCGCTGAGGTCCGACTGGTCTATACAAATTTAAGTCAATCCTCATATACCCCTTGGTGTGAAAATAGTCCTTTACGTATGCTTACTTCCTCTGTCAGTTGTTTACAGTCTGGTCTCTCGTTTGATTCTCACTTAAACTGTAGCCTACTGCTAATAGTGGTCTGTTGTCTGCGGTCAGGCAAGCTAAATGGTCGAACCATTTCACTTATTTTCTAATTAGATCTACGGTAGCTACTCCATCCGTTTTCGTGTGGATTTCCTCATTTCTGATCTCTCTTCTCGAAATGCCGAATACTGTTCTCAGGAATTCATCTGTTTCTGTGATGGTTCTCTGCTATTTTCTTTTTCTACTATTGCCCATGTTTAGCTCTGGTAGCTTAGAGTTGATAAAGCGATTATTAATTTTTTTGTTTTGTTTTTTGAGACACAGGATATATTTCACATACCAAATTGCACGTATTATTATAATCGTTACTGCCCTTTTGTCAGTCTGGAAGCATGAGTGGACACCAAACATTAGTAGGTCAACAATAGATAGACTCACGCGGATACACTGTCCAGGATATGTAGAAGTGCGAGGGAATAAAAGAGCTGATTTGTGTATGCGTGAATGCGTGTGGCTATAAAAGCGATAGCTACAGGACAACATTCACTGGACAAAGCAAACATTCTGAGGGCCGGTTAGGCATGAATGCTGACAGAAGACACGAGTTTGCATTAAATAACATGTAAGAATGTGTAATCTGATCGAATGCAGAAATGAAATTATTGCTTTTAAATTCTTTGATCATGTGATGAGAAAAGGAGCGCTGGAAAATATTGTGACAACTGGAAAAATCCCTGGTAGAAGAGGCAGGTACAGACCAAGAGAAACCATGGTGGGTGGCTTAGGACAGGTGCATAGAGGAATATCATAGGTGGAGTTGATTCAGAACGCCAAGGACCGACATATGTGGAGATGCATTCACGCCTACGCGTTGATGATGATGATAATTATTAATTATTGCGTATCATCCCTGTCTATTGCCAACTTGCGACTTCAAGATTCATGCACTTTGTAACGAAGCTCATGCAATACATTATATTAACTCTTTGACCATCTGAAAAGAAATGCACCAACACATACGGGGAGATGCAGGGAGAGGGAAGATACCATCAAGGCTGTACGAACCAGGTTAGTGGTTAATGACGAATTTCTGACACTAACACGATTGTGTGACATGGGAATAAAGAGTTGTGATGCACGTCTAGGAAGCGTGTGGTGATGCACGACTACACTAGACAGATGAAAAGAATAAAGAAAATGTGTTGAGAGAAAATGACTCACGTAGAGTACTGATTGCTCACATCAGAAAGAGACAATCTACATCCTTTGCTCACGTGATGAGAAGGCGAAAACTGGAGTTCGTTATGACAGTAGCAAACTGGAAGGGAGGAGAGGCAGCGATAGACCGAGAGAAAAGATACTAAACAGTTTGACATCGAGGCATGGAAAATGATTTAAATCAGAGTTTTTTTTTTGAAAATATACGCGACAGAAGGTTGTGGAAAGACATGACTACTAATGTCACATGACTTTAAGAAGATGAAGAAGCACGCCTATACCACTTTCAAAGCTAAGATAGGAGTCATTATAACTAGCTACTTGGGGATACGATCAGAAGAGGTTTTGAGGTTTTGACAAACGGATCAACATCATGGCACACGGGTAGTAACCCATAAGTGCTCTGTTCTACTTCTAACTCAAATCTAAGTTAGAAGAAGCTCAGCACAGTGCACAAGCTCTGTAGCAGCGGCGAGGATCCTGAAATACTTTGGGTAGAATTTCAACTCCAAAGTTTGTGCGGGCAGCGCCGTTAGGGTACTCTTTTTGATTTCCAACTGCTAAGGTTTTTTTTTTACGTGCGCAATAATGCACACGGGCGTCCGATCTCACTACCCAGACCCCCCGTGTGGGTTCCGGGGCCCCATTGTGGAGAAAACAAGAATAGACGCACTGCCTTCCCCAAAAGCATGTCGTAAGAGTCGACTAATTGGGGAGCTTCCTTTGTAGTCGGAGTGCATCTGCCGGAGAGGCAAGGAACCAACAGTCTTTATTCAAGAGTATGAGATCTGTAAAACTGATGCACACGCAACACTCAGGTTCTGGAGCAGGACTGCAGTTCAGTAGTGGACGAGCAACCAGAACTTTCAGCCAGAGTTTACAGTTGGTAAACGCAAAGAAGAAGAAGAAGAAGACTACCCAGAGACTATGGGAAATTATTAAAAGTCCAAGACCACGTGAAAAGATCCTATCCCTTACCGGGGATTGAACACTGAACCTATAGCACTCAAGGCGGATACCTTTTCTCGAGCCCACGCAGCTCCCCCGCACAAAAGAGGTATCTTAGTGTGCTGAGCAGGACTGAGCAGGACTGAGCAGGACTGAGCAGGCAGGGGAAACCCAGTGTGTACATTGTCGACTATAGTTTAAAAAAAAAAAAAAACAACAACAACAACAACACAAGATTCTAACTCTTATGTCATGTCCACAGCCAAACCCAAAAACAAAAAGAAGAAAGACCAGAAGAATTCCCCGAACAGACGAACCGTTTCTTTCCCTCCCATGTTCGCCACTATCGTGGAGAAGGTCGAGGAGGAGGAGAAGCAAGGGATAGAACTCCAAAAATTGCCGCCATCACCCATGACAGATTTCTATTATGCCTTGACCCTGAAAGGTCGACAAAGCTTTCCAACTTTCGTTGGAGACTGGGCTTATGTGAACGGTGGGCACCCACACAAAAGACGAAGTAAGAACTTGCTATTGTTCCTCCGTGTGTTCGCCTTAGTTGTTAAATAGTCATGTTTGACTGTTTGTTTCTTCAGCTTTTGCCTAGAAAATTAGTTGTGTGTCCTTTTGGATGCTTCCCCCCCCCCCCTTTTTTCAGTACTTTGAATATGTTAGTTACTAAGAAGAGTAGACAGAACACAACGTGCTTTCCCGATATCTACCCCCACCCCCAGGATGACGTCACGTCATGTCACTACAATATTTTCTAGGGTGGTAAGAGCAGGTTCCGCGGTTGTATGATGCTTTTAAATACCCCAAAACAGCTAGAACTGGGCCTAACCCCAACCAACCTACGTCCCACGAGAGAGTGCAGCCTAGGTCCCACGACTGCATGCAGCCTATCTTCCACCCCTAAAATATTCGACTGTCTGTTTGGAAGGAGGGGATAGGGAGATGGTGGGGGAGGGGGGATTCTGGGATAGAACCAAAGAAACAAAAATATCCAAGCAGTGTCATGTAAAATTATATGTTTACTCCAGTAAGAGTAAGGCCGTGCTGCTTAATTAGGCTACAGTGTGTAGTATATGTATCTTATATCCTAGTTCCATTGAGAAATATAGATGTACATGAGAATAGACAGGGACTTGAAATGGAGAAAGCGAAAAAAAAAAAATAAATAAATAAAGAATTCTTTCCATTAAAATACACACATCACAAGATCTCTCTAAATACATTGCTCTTCCACTTACAGGAAGATAAGGGCGCTTACATATTTTGTTTTGCCAAATTTAAATTCACAATAAATTTCTTTTGTTTGCACGATTTTGTGCTTCATTATGTGTTGATATAACTCTGTAGTAATATGCAATTAATTAAATACAACTAAATATACCAGGCAATAAATTGTGCAATGTAATGTCTGTGTCCATCATCATCATCATCATCAGGTGCCTTGCCGACTGGCATGGGCGATCATGCCTCTCCATAATCCGCGATCTCCTGCAGCATGTATCAGTCCGTGTGCCGACACACCTCCATGCCATGCAACAACACTGTCAAGCATCTTCTCTCGTTGTCTTCCTCATCCCTCCTTCCACAGATCTTTCCAGTGGTCACAACATGTTCTATTTTCCCTCTTCTCATAACATGGCCGGAATATGATGACTGTCTCCTTCTGATGTCAGTGATAAGTTGTCTTCGGGCTCCCTCCTCTTTCAAAACCTCTTGGTTGCTCTTTTTGGCTGTCCAAGGTATTCTAAGCATTCTTCTGTAAAACCACATCTCTGAGGCCACATTATTGAAATTCACTACGGGAAACGTTGTTTTGAATTATGTTGCATACTTATTCTTTTCAGAACATAATGAAAATAAGAAGGAGTTAATAACCTTCAGTGTGGTTATTTCTGATCAAATAAATATTTTTACTTTATTAGTGATACTTCTATTTGGTTTTCTGTTTGACATTTAAACCTACATGAACTAAGATAAGAACTGTTTCGCCTATGTGCAGCAGTACTTCTTCTGACTTCTTTTATCAAAGTTTGCCTATGTTTATAAAATTTCGTTTCATGGTTTTTGGTTTCTTGCGTATCCTTTACAGGACGTTGCAGAACCAACCCCAACAGCACCGAGCTGTTGTGTGGGTTTTCTAGGCAAATTTACGTCCAGTAGTTTGCCATTGCTTTCTAGACGGTCGGCTTTCTTGATACCACTGTCGTAACCAACGCAAGGCGCATGGCCCGCCGCTGGGATCGAACCTGGCATCCCGGCATTACGAAGCGTTCGCATCGACTTAGCCACAGAGCTTCGTTTCATGGGACGGTCAAATATTTCAGGGGGTGTTAGATTAAGGTCGGCGTCTGTGCCTTGGGCGTTGCGAAAACGTTTTGTAATGCCGGGGTGCCAGGTTCGATCCCTGCTGCGAAAGAATTGTCTTGCGCTGGTTTCGACAGTGGTCCGGAGAGCTGACCGTTGAGATGCAATGGCAAACAACTTAACGTAAAATTTGCCTAGAAAAACCACAACAGCCAATAAATGCTGGGGTTGTTTCTGCAACGTCCTGTAAAGGCTACGCAACTAACAGTGGTAGATCAAGCGTATAATTGGGGTTAGTGTAAGGTAAACGCGCGAAAACCTTGGTCTTGGAAGAAAGTCAAAGTCCAAGTCCTTTACCAAAAAAAAAAAAAAAAAATCAATAACTCGACCATTTTCAATCTGCTGTTCGCTAGCCGAAGCCACCAACAGTCTATGATTATATTCGTGGTCTCTCTTATTTGCGCCACTTTAGTGGCTAATATCTGACTTTTGCGCCATCTCTCTGGCTAACTCGGAAAAAAAACGCGCTAAAGCTCAGAAAACATGGAAAACACGCTCTTATCACCCTCTAAAATATTGGACTGTCCCGTGACGTCATGTGTGATCGGCTAAAAAGAAAGCACACATACAAAATTGCGATAAGAAAAATATACTAAAAATGAACCAGACAAATTACACTTTGCCGGCGCTTTTAAAAACGAAAACTCGCTTCCTTTATCGAGATGGTGGGTGGTAGTACGACGCAGTGTAAGTAAGTTGTACCCACCAGGAAATCACACAGAGCAATAAACACCCGGCGACACAAAGTGCCACCATGCAGATGAGGACACCCCGGAAGAGGTCACGGAAACCCCGTTCAACCGTTAGGTTATATTAGGGTCCCCGGCAACAGCTGGGTGCGACTTTGAAATAACGAAAAATTGCACCCCAGACTGACTGACTTTCTACCCCACTAGGACATCACACAAGCGATAAACACCCGATGACACAAAGTGCCACCATGTGGATGAGGATCGCCGTGGAGAGGTCCCAGAAACCGCGTTCAGACAATTAGCCATATTTATGGCCTGCCTATATTGCGGCCCCTGGCAAAAGCCAGGGTGGGGGTTCAAATGACAAAAAATTTCGTCCTAAAAAGGACGAAAACGTATAATAGCAAATAAATGCACACCACATTGGTTGTGGTGGTGCATAATAGAATCACGCGGTTAAATACACAGGAATAAACAGAAACAAAATAGATGTGAGACAAAATACAAGAAATTAATTTTATAGAATGTTTAATTATTAGGGGGAAAATAATATCAGTTAATGAGTTCATTGTTCACAGTAACGTACTCATTATTCTCATCTTCTCATTTTCTTTAACAAAATGTGTCTTTCGCTGTGTCTTTGGGGAAAAAAAATCAAAGAGAGATAACTAACAATGAAAAGGGATTCTTCAAAGATTATTTCCCTTAAGAGTTGTGTGATTGTTTTACAACTCAATAATGACAATACCTAATTAAATTTAAAGAATAGAAACTAACGGTTAATGAGTTTATTGTGTAAGCATAAACGTAATTTCAGAATTAAAACAGAAATTAAGTAGGATACAGCTGAGCGGGTTTAATAAGTGAAACCGAATGACGATATAAGTAAGTGCAGTCGTTACATAGAATGGGTTACGTACTTGACTACTAGCCTTATGTGGACCAGTAAACGGACTTGCACCCGGGCGATTCTCATCCGATAGGTGGTACTTTGTATCACCGGGATTTATCGCTGGTTGTGCGGTCCTGGTGGGATTAATGATTAGTTATTAAACATGAAGTGGGTTGATGGGTACCCACGAAAGTTTACTTAAACAGTTTACTTCAGCAGATTACTTAATTTGTCTTAAGAAGTAAAGTAATTTAAATAGTTTTTAACTAAACATTTTGAGTGAAGTCTTGAACAGTTTACCTAAACCGTTTATTATTCAGTCTGCTAAATCAATCGTATTGGCAAGTCCTATAACTCTACTATTGAAAGTTTAGGTTATCTTTAGACGCAAGTGATGTTTCTTGACATGGTAGTTTATCCGCCTTAGGAATTTGTTGCCAGGTAACCACAGTTTGGTAAACTAACCCTTCACTAACGACCTTGCTAAGACCAGAGACCCTGAGGCCTTCTTGTTATCTGCAGCTGACGGTGATACCAACGAGGATGGTGTGGACTCAGCTGCTACACCCAACGAGTCTTCATCAGTTCCCAATGGTGATCACAACGACCCGAACTTCCAGAGCACCAATCAGGCGCGTCTTGCAGCCAGGCGTAGCTTACGGAGAGGCGATCTCGCGGCGAGAACAGAAGCGAAGAAACAAACGGAGGTAGAGGAGGTGAAGAAAAAGGAGACGGACGAAGAGAGAAGGCTTCGAGAGGAGAAGGAAAAGAAGCAGCTGGAGGAACATAAAAAGAAAGAGGAAGAAATGAAAATGGACATTGAAAGAAAGAGGAGAGCCGAGACGATGAGGTTGAGAAAAAAAGCAAGAGAAGAAAGACTTCAAAAAGAACAAGGTGATAGAAAATCAGAAGAAAAAGAGGTGGGGGAAGCCAACCTGGAAAACGAGAAGAAGAAGACCGAGGAAGACAAAAAGCAGAAGGAAAATGAAAATGAAAAGCAAGAGGTTAAGAAGATAAACGATCAAAAAAGAGCTGAAGAAATAAAAAAGACAGAACAAGATAGGACAAAGAAAGAAGAACATGACAGAAATGCGAAAGTTGGACAAGATAGAAAAACAAAAGAAGAACAAGACAGAAAAGCGAAAGTTGAACTAGATAGAAAAACAAAAGAAGAACAAGACAAAAAATCGAAAGCTGAACTAGACAGAAAAACAAAAGAAGAACAAGACAGAAAAGCGAAAGTTGAACTAGACAGAAAAACAAAAGAAGAACAAGACAAAAAATCGAAAGCTGAACTAGACAGAAAAACAAAAGAAGAACAAGACAGAAAATCGAAAGTTGAACTAGACAGAAAAACAAAAGAAGAACAAGACAGAAAATCGAAAGCTGAACTAGACAGAAAAACCAAAGAAGAACAAGACAGAAAAGCGAAAGTTGAACTAGACAGAAAAACAAAAGAAGAACAAGACAGAAAAGCGAAAGTTGAACTAGACAGAAAAACAAAAGAAGAACAAGACAAAAAATCGAAAGTTGAACTAGACAGAAAAACCAAAGAAGAGCAAGACAGAAAATCGAAAGCTGAGCAAGACAAACAAATAAAAGAAGAAAAAGACAGACAACTGAAATTAGATCAGGAGAAAAAACTGAAAGAACAACAAGACAGAATAAAAAAGGAAGAACAAGAGAGACAAAAGAAAGAAATAGAAGAGAAACGAAAAATAGAAGATGTGAAGAGAAAGGAGGAAGACCTAAAGAAAAAGAGAGATTCCGAAACTATAATGCGAAAGAAAGAAGAAATAGAAAAGCTAAAGAATAATCAAACGGATGTGAAAAGAAGACAAGAAGAAACTGAAAAACAGCGAAGACTAGAGGAAGAAAAGAAGAAACAAGAGTCAGTTAAGAAAAATGAAGAAATTGCAAGGCAGAAAATTCAAGCTGAAGAGGAAAAGAAAAAAGTGGGATTAAAGAAAACAGAAGAAGAGAAAAAGCGACTCGAAAATGAAAGAAAAGCAAAAGAAGACACAAAGATACAAGAAGAATCTGTGCAACCAGGCACAAAGCCAGGTACACAAAAAAGTGTGCTGCAAAAATTCGCTAAACATTTAGACTCGAAATTAGAACCAAACGTGGTAAACATACCAAAAGTCCCACTCACACAAGGTTTGAAATCAAATTCTGAGAAAACACAAGCAATTAAACATTCAGAGAACAATACAGTTGAAGTTTTAAATAAAAGTAAACTGGACGCAGCGAAAGTTTCACCCCTTGGTGTTAAAAATCAGCAGGAAAGTCATACAATTCAGACAAACGAGAACAAATCTATCTTATTGAAAGTGAACAGGGATAGGGTGGAAAATGATGTTAAATCTACAGAAAAGAATGTTGACAGCAAAGAAACACAGAGTTCCTCTCGGACATGGCAACAAAAACTATCCGAAGATAAGAAGCGTTTGGATGAGTTGCGACAGAAAGACCAAAACAGAGTTGAAGAACTCAAACAGCAAGAGTTGAAACGTATGGAGGAATTAAAACAGAGTAGTAAAACTGTTGTGGGAGCAGCTAAAAAGGAAGAACAAATTCAGAAAGTATCTGAAGATAAAAAGCGTTTAGATGAACTGCGAAAGAAAGACCAAAACAGGGTAGAGGAGCTCAAACAGAAAGAATTTAAACGTAGTGAAGAGTTAAAGATGGGCAGTAAAACAACTGTTGTAGGAGTGGTTAAAAAGGAAGAGCAAAGTCAGAAAGTAGATTTGAAATTGAGGGAACAAAAACAAATTGAAGAGTTGCGACGAAAAGAGCAACTGCAACGGGAGGAGCTTCGACAGAAAGAATCGAAACAACGGGAGGAATTACATAGAAAGGAAGAGAAACAGAAGGAAGAACTGAATCGAAAGAAAGAAATTAAAACTCGGGAGGAGTTGAAGCGTACACAAGATTTGTCTTTAAAAGAAGAGACTAAATTGAAGGCGAATATTAAACCACATGATGCTCTAAAGGTAAATGAGGAATTAAAAATGAAAGAACAATTAAAACCCGAGGATAATAAAAAACAAGAAACTAAATGGAAACCACCTGAATTACGAAACAAACTGGATGCCCAAGCTAAAGAATTATTGCAAAAAGAACAGTTAAAAGCAAATGAGAAGAAACAGATTGATGAACTGAAAAGGAAAGAAGAAAAACAGTTGGCAGATTTAAGACATAAACAAGAACAAGAAAATTTACGCCGGGAGTTGAAAAAGGAACAGATGATAAAAGATCAGCTGTGGAGGCAACATGAAGAGGAAGTTCACCAGCGACAACAGAAAGAGCAAGCAGCGAAAGAACGAAGGGAGAGGAACAGACAAACAGACTCGGGCAAAGACGACGAATTTCAGGTGAAGGTATACAAGCGGGACTATTCCTTTGAGGATCTGCGGACAAGTTTGCAGGCGCATTTTAGTGGCGAGGTCATAAACGCGGAAGAAGTCAAATATTGGGACGACATTCTAGAAAAGCAGAATTACTCTATCAACGATCTGAAGCAGGTCTTTGACTCGGTTTCTAAGGCTAATGCAGAAAGGCAGTCCCGATCAACAGACAGAAAAAGCAACGTGGAAGATGCGGATATAGCAAGAATGAAACGTGCTGGTTCAGTGACTGGTGCTCGACAAGCATTCACCCAATCACCAGAGCCAGCCAGTAAGAGATCCGAATCACAGAAAAGACAAAAAGACGAAGAAATTCCAAAGAAAGGAGCAAATATATCAGATATCCGTCAACAGTTTCTGGAAATAGTCAAATCTCAATCTTCGTCAAAGAAATCTTTGAGTTTACCTGGACACAGAGAAGCAGACATAACAATTAACCGCCTGAAAGTTGAAAACTCACCGATCCACGGTGAGGCTGGACGCCGCTCAAAGTCCCCAACTCCCTTCAGATTATCTCCTTCACCATCTCCTTCGACTGCCTCTCCAAACGAGCAAGATCCAAGACCGACCACCCGCAAGCAAATTGAGCTCTCCAAAATTGAAAGCAACGTAGCAGCAAAACGAGCATCCTTCTATGAGCAGCTGTATCAGAAACCTGGCGCTCCAACAAAAGGTATTGCCCTAGACGCGGCTCAGAAGAGAAAGTCCTTCCAAGGACGAGATTCATACGGAAGTATTGAGATACCCACCTACAAACGAGCGGCGGGCTGGTCAGACGATCTGGAGAAATCATTGGACATTCCTAAAGCTGAAGAACAACAGGCACCGCGAAAGGTCCCAGCCGTGGAGAAAAGTAATTCATCGGTGGAGTCTTATATCAGAAATAGCGTTAAAGAGACATCAGAGATGGAGGATTCAAGTACAGTTCGACCATTCGTCTACAATTCTGCCCGTACGATAGCAAGAAGTAAGTCTAGTTTTGTCTATTCGTCTCATTTTTGGACTGTCTGCCTCGCTGTCTGTCTCCATGATTGCCTGTCTAATTATTTGTTTATCTGTCTCTGCCAAGGTGGCCGTATTTCTGTCTGTCTGACTGTCTGTTTGTCTGTGTCTGCCTAAACATATTTCTGTCTGTCTCTCGCTATGTATGTATGTACGTCTGCTTAAACATGCAAGCTTGCTTATATACTTTTCGTTCTGTTTTATATATTTTCTTAAACATACAAGACTGACTTCGCATATCTCAGCCAACATGTCTGTCTAAATACAAAAGTTGTATAACTGTCTGTCTGTCTGTCTGCCTGCCTTTCTGTCTATATTATGGTCTCCACTTTGTCCCTTCAGCTCTTGATCTATATCCCTCTCATTTTGTTACTCTTTGTTCATTTCTGCTTATCCCTCACTTTAACCCTAATTCTCTTGATCACTGTCTCTGAATTTGTACTCCTACCTTCTTCTTATTCCTATGACTTTATGGTTTGTCATATTTTTTCTTTGACTTTCTTTGCATTGTCCTACTGGTTTTCATAACATGGACATGACTGTCCGGCATATGCAGGAGTGTGAGGGAATGAAAGAGCAAATTTTCTGGATACAAAAGACACAGCCGCGGAACAATAATACTGGACAAAGAAGACATTCTGAAGACAATGAATGAATGAATGAATGCTCATAGAAGACATGAGGCTAGATGAAATAACACTTGTAAGAATGTTGGAACAAAGAATGTCTGTGGATCCATCAAGGTTGGACATCCGAGAGGAAAAGAACAATGTGTGTTCAGTCAGTGAGCTGATAGAACAGTCAACATCTACACCTTAAGACGTTTGCTGCAGGAGACTGAGCATCTATGAGTATACCTGGTGTGCTATGGTGTCGATTCTTGAATCAGTTATTGGTAATTATCGGTTTTTTTTTCTGTGTCGGTCTTTACTTATCATTTTGTTTCGGACTATCGTCGTCTTTCTATGTATTTACAGCTGTCTGTCTGTCTGTCTGTCTGTCTGTCTGTGGATCGGTCGGTCTGTCGGTCTGTCTGTCTGTCTGTCGGTCGGTCTGTCTGTCTGTCGGTCGGTCGGTCTGTCTGTCTGTCTGTCTGTCTGTCTGTCTGTCTGTCTGTCTGTCTGTCTGTCTGTCTGTCTGTCTGTCTGTCGGTCGGTCTGTCGGTCTGTCTGTCGGTCTGTCTGTCTGTCTGTCTGTCTGTCTGTCTGTCTGTCGGTCTGTCTGTCGGTCAGTCGGTCTGTCTGTCTGTCTGTCTGTCTGTCGGTCGGTCTGTCTGTCTGTCTGTCTGTCTGTCTGTCGGTCGGTCGGTCTGTCTGTCTGTCTGTCTGTCGGTCGGTCGGTCGGTCTGTCTGTCTGTCTGTCTGTCTGTCTGATTATATCCCTTTCTGACCACCTCTCCATGACAGTCTCTACCTATCAAGTATCCATAATTAAATTACACAGTTGAACGGCAATATTGACACTAAATCACATTCTTTATTTTCTTACCCCCTCTCCTCCCCCTTTTTTCAGGATTCGCCAAGACATAAATCTACAGCCAAGGTCACGACTGTCATTCTTCATCAATACCATACCCATCAAGACACCATTTTCTGACCTCGCAAGGATAAAATTCTACTGACTAACAATCAATTGATTGTCATAACTTTTGTGGGAATTTATTTTCATCTTCTTCATTCACAAATCTGCCATTGAAAAGCTCAAGAAATATATCGTTTAAACTCTTATATCATTGCTACCTCACACAGTTTGATGCCTTTACAATCATCGTTAGTGCTTTTGATGTTCAAGAAATTGATGTTCAAATTCTCTGGCCAGAGACACCGATTCGGTAACCAAAATCAAAAACAGTGCAAACCCTAACTGGCAATAACTAAAACCAGTCGGTCTCCCGTTCGGTGTGGATTACCACTGCAACATCCATGGGGTAGCTGGGTAGCCAGGCGTTTGAGGTACAAACTTGGGGAAAAATTTCCTTAAAAACTGTTGATTTGTTTTCCTGGACAGGTCAATGGCTGTTGTAAATAAAGGAAAGTAAATGAGGAGAAGTGACAATTGACTGATTGTTCTTTCCTTCCTGAGCTGCTAGCTGAAGTAGTGACGCAGAGCTGCATCTCTAATACAAATCCGACAAGACAAATTATATATATCACGGTCACTTTCTTGGAAGTTACAAGGAAACTGCACATGGAAACTGTAAAAGTGTGATATAAATTACATTAACCGAGCTTTTGTCTTGTAACAAGTCAATATTGTTGTTAAGGATGTCAAGAGTGATATCATGGTTGAGATGAGCAGGAAGTCAAAATGACAGGTTAAAGATGGGCACCCCACTTTTGACATGCACGAAAGAGGAGCAGCGTCCTGTTATCCGTTTTTTGTTCTTGTTTTTAATGAGTGAAGG